CTCAAAATACGATAACATTCAGCATGCTAGAAATGGGCAGATGGCACTGTACTACGCCATATCTTTATGTTTTGCGGCAAACGACAACTTTATAAAATCAGTGTAGCAAATTTTAAAAATCGTCATATCGTTTATTGGCAAATTTGAACTCGAACGAACGAATTTTGCACGAACTCGTCTTAGATTTCACATAATATCTAAATCTCACAGATCATCTTTGCACATACAACAATATACTTACTTCCTATTAAAGTATAAATTCTACAAATACATTCACTCAACAATATTTAAAATAAAATGAGCCAAGAACGTTTATCGATAAAACCTACTAACATTAAAATCTTCTGGGCAGCACTAAAACCGCCATGTTTTGTGGCCAGATGACGTCACAGTGGCACGAATTTTTTGTTGACGTTTCATTTCCATAGGTTTCCTACTTCAGTGAAAATAAGCCAGTGTCGATTTGACATTGCTTCGAAAAGTACAAGTTGTGATATAGTTTTGACCTGGCTTTGGATTTTAGATATTGATGCTGCAGTACTGTTGACCCTTGCTCGTTAATTTGGACTCTGTTTATGAAATGAATGAAATGCGTTTATTTCAGGCAACTTAAGCCCATAAACTTTCACATACAATTACATAATATTTAAATCAAAATACAATAAAATTAAAATTACAATTTATCAGAATGATTAAAAATAAAAATAAACAAAAATGAAACCAAATCAAAATTATTAAAATTAAACTTGCTGTAAACTACTTAATATAAAATTAAAATTAATAAAGGCAATAATAGGATGCTTAAACGACAAAGGGAAGATCTTCCACCGAGCGGGTGATATTGCTCGGTAGACCGACGGTCCGAATGTTGTTGTTCGGAACTTGTATATATGCGAAGCTTATCTTGAAAATGTCGTAAGCGAGATTCAGGCATCTGTCAAATATTTCTTGCGTTGTATGATGGCTACCCGCCACATCACTCCCCTCCGAGACCGGAGGTCGTGTCATTTTAGTTATTAGTTTATTCATTTTAGTTATTATTGTATGATGGCTACCCGCCACGTCGGAACGGTACTTCGATAAGGCTATGCGTCATGATAATCGCCTTATCGTAGCCGCCGCTGACTACTCCCCGAATCCTGATCATGCAGGAGCCAGTCACCGTCGACGCCCTAGACACGTCCTTACGGATCCATCAGATCCAATAACCTTTGCACTAGACGCCTTCAGCTCTAGGAGCAGGCTTAGGGACCTCGGTAACCGTACTCGTCGAACTCGACAAAGAGTTCGCCGTGCAACCTAACCCATGAATCAGCTCGCTGAGTTTCTCGCCGGATCTTCTCAGCGGGTCGCGATTCCGATCCGGTAGTAGATTCATTCACGAAGCAGCTACTCTTGAGCTGTTAGGTCTCCTTTGGAGGCGCTCGGGTAGCTGTTAGCAAATCCCACCCCTCCTGGCTGAGCCTTTGCTCGCCCACCTGTCCTGGTGAAACTGGAAAGGCCTCCGGGCCACCAGTAATCTTTCAATCATAAAAAAAAAACAATAATAATGAAATAATGTTAACTGAGTAACCGCCACCTTTATGCCTTTTGTTGTGGATATCGTTGATCTGGCCGAACGTCCGCAGAGAACTTAGTTCGTTATACGCCTTCGCAACTATTTCGAGCGTGAATCTGAAAATGGAGTGTCAATTTTACCTATAACGTCAGTTTAATTTTCCTACCTATGCTGATAGCCTTGAGAGGCTATTTCAGCTTCTCCTTGACGTGTAGGAGCTCACGGGGCTCAGACCGGTAGTGTTGCCAACACTGGCCCTAGCAAGAGCAATGCTTCGCCAAATCTACCACCGGATCGGAAATGCGACCCACTTAGAAGATCCGGCGAGAAACTCAGTGGGCTGTGTCTATGGGTTGATTTGCTTGTCGAGCCCTTCGTCGCAGTGACCAGTGCTTAAGGTACCTAAAAGCACCGTTAATGGATCGGGAGGATCCGTAATGACGTGTTTAGGGTGACGTCGACTGTTTATCATTCGGTCCATAGGATCAGGTATGTAATTCCGGCGGTCACGACAAGAGGTTTTTCATGTCGTGCCACCTTCTCTAAGTGGCGCGATGATGCGGACTGTAGATACTTACTAACTGAGTCAAGCTTCGGGTCATCATGGAGATCCACGTTCCTTAGGAACCATGGTGCTCTGACGGCTATCCTTATTATATATATCTTTATTATATATTGTCGTCGTCGTGGCCTAAAGGATAAGACGTCCGGTACATTCGTATGTAGCGATGCACCGGTGTTCGAATCCCGCAGGCGGGTACCAATTTTTCTAATGAAATACGTACTCAACAAATGTTCATGATTGACTTCCACGGTGAAGGAATAACATCGTGTAATAAAAATCAAACCCGCAAAATTATAATTTGCGTAATCACTGGTGGTAGGACCTCTTGGGAGTCCGCACGGGTAGGTACCACCACCCCGCCTATTTCTGCCGTGAAGCAGGAATGCGTTTCGGTTCGAAGGGTGGGGTAACCGTTGTAACTATACTAAGACCTTAGAACTTATATCTCGAGTTGGGTGGCGCATACACGTTGTAGATGTCTATAGGCTCCAGTAACCACTTAAGACCAGGTGGGCTATCGTCCATCCATCTAAGCAATAAAAAAAAACTATATATATACGCGCGCTTGACGACGGTACGGGGGCGGGAGGCGCGGGGCAGGACTGCGAGGCACGTTTTGTGAAGGCGGCCAGAGATGCGGGGGGAGAATATTCGCCACGTGAGGCCCTATAGGCCACGAATTCGGGCGCGACGACGGATATTTTTCCCGGAGGAATCCGATGAACACTTTCTCGTCCATTTTCGCCAGGAGGGTGCGTCCCCGGGGCTTACACGCACTCGCCGGAAGACGAGTCCCCTGGATGGGGTTTGAGCCCCCTGCGCTGTAAAAACAGCAGTGATGCAGGGGAGGAGTGCGTATGCCGTGAAAACAGCAATCAGCAGGAATTTGGGAAAGGACCCGCTCGGGCTGTATTTGCTACAGCGGGTGGATACCGAGCGGGGGTCTAGTCTTAAAAAAGACTGGCCGAAGCCGGGAAAGGTGAAGGAAATTGCTAAGCGGTGATATGCACTCGACGGCGCGGGCGTTGCGAGCGGGAATCAACGTCAGTGGTTGATCGCGTAGCTGATGGGCATAAATTATTTTGGACAACGAACTATTAAACGAATAACTAAAGAAAAATATGGCGAGACTGGCACAGAAGATAATAAATTTTATGTTTATTTAATTAATAATAACTTAACTATATTCACTTTCATTCCAATATTCATGGTGCAAATATATTAAGTAAGCATTTATATTTTTGTTTTATGAATTTTTTTTAATCAGTTGCTAAAATTATTCGAAGTCGTCGTGGCCTAAAGGATAAGACGTCCGGTGCATTTGTATCGAACGATGCACCGGTGTTCGAATCCCGCAGGCGGGTACCAATTTTTCTAATGAAATACGTACTCAACAAATGTTCACGATTGACTTCCACGGTGAAGGAATAACATCGTGCAATAAAAATCAAACCCGCAAAATTATAATTTGCGTAATTACTGGTGGTAGGACCTCTTGTGAGTCCGCACGGGTAGGTACCACCGCCCCGCNCGACGCCCTAGACACGTCCTTACGGATCCATCAGATCCAATAACCTTTGCACTAGACGCCTTCAGCTCTAGGAGCAGGCTTAGGGACCTCGGTAACCGTACTCGTCGAACTCGACAAAGAGTTCGCCGTGCAACCTAACCCATGAATCAGCTCGCTGAGTTACTCGCCGGATCTTCTCAGCGGGTCGCGATTCCGATCCGGTAGTAGACTGGCACAGAAGAAAATAAATTTTATGTTTATTTAATTAATAATAACTTAACTATATTCACTTTCATTCCAATATTCATGGTGCAAATATATTAAGTAAGCATTTATATTTTTGTTTTATGAAACTTTTTTAATCAGTTGCTAAAATTATTCGAAGTCGTCGTGGCCTAAAGGATAAGACGTCCGGTGCATTTGTATCGAGCGATGCACCGGTGTTCGAATCCCGCAGGCGGGTACCAATTTTTCTAATGAAATACGTACTCAACAAATGTTCACGGTTGACTTCCACGGTGAAGGAATAACATCGTGTAATAAAAATCAAACCCGCAAAATTATAATTTGCGTAATCACTGGTGGTAGGACCTCTTGTGAGTCCGCACGGGTAGGTACCACCGCCCCGCCTATGTCTGCCGTGAAGCAGTAATGCGTTTCGGTTTGAAGGGTGGGGCAGCCGTTGTGACTATACTGAGAACTTAGAACTGTATCTCAAGGTGTGTGGCGCATTTACGTTGTAGATGTCTATGGGCTCCAGTGACCACTTAACACCAGGTGGGCTGTGAGCTCGTCCACACATCAAAGCAATAAAAAATAAATAAAAAAATTATAGATTTCATAAAAAAAAATTGAAATTGACACTTCACATCACTATTGTAATAAATAATATTTCAAAACGGCCATCAGAGCGTGCCGATAGTGTAGTTGACGCGGACGAGTATTGTATTTATTATGAGACTGAGATTTTTTTAACATTTTTGAAAGTACCTCTGCTCACTAGTAAAACATGTAAACTTTTATTATTCTACCAGAATCTTCAATCTCCAACTGATCCCTACAACGTTCCAGTAAATCACAATTTGTCATCGTGGGCTCACCTACTATCGGTAGGTACTTGTATCAGTTTAACGTCACATCTCACTTGCGTATCTAATCTTGTTACATTGTGTGTGTGTGTCACCCAGCGATCCGTTAGTCTAATCTAAGCTATCAAACAAAAGAGTTTTAAAAATAAAATAATTGCTCGTTTGATAATACAACTTTTAGAACTGTATTTGTCAATGTGTATTTGTGTTCGCCTTCTTAGTTATAGAATATTATGTTAACGTGAGATCCGTACCAGCAAGCGCAAGAGTGGACATGAAATGCTGGATGAAACAGTAGTTCCAGAGAGCGAGTCTGACGTGATGGTGCGGAGAGCGAGGAGACCTGGCAGTACAATCGAGCTGTCATTCTTCATGACAACGCTGGGTTTGTCGCTTACCGGTAATTACCTACGACCTAACTTTCATATATATTATTATATCTTAATCTGAGGTCTCCAGCAAACAGAGGTTAAATATTAGTGGTCCTCAGGCAACTAGTGGGTGGGTTCACATTTTCATGAAACATAGCTTAGAACTCGACCTCGGACTCATACTAGACGGCGGATCGCAAAATTTACAATGTGGCCTCGGGTATATTATTCAGATATTACCTTGACCTCACCTGTAGTATCTACCTCTCCGAATCCTGACTCTTCAACTAAAAACGTGAGAGTCGATAAAAGGAAAAGAGTTTTTTCGACCTTTATCTATTGCACAATTAATGTGGATTTAATGTTAGGGTCCTAAATAGCCACCTTGATGCCGTACCATCACTATCTTTTTATGGGGGACGATGTTCCAATCGATGTACAGTATCGGTATCATTTGAAAGGTAAAGCCAAATTGCTAAAATGTTGGGAGCCCTCAACACAGTGAAGCGGTATTTAACGCATGGAAACGCAAAGACTTGGGTTTTAGAAAGTACAACAAAAGACTTTGAATATTGTTAACTTTTTATATGACATTAAATATGAATTGTGTACATTTTTAGGTGTCGCGATAAGCAACTTAATATTATACAGAACGTGTGTCCACGTGTTGCGGCACGGCCGGGCCGAGTGCTCGTCGTTCCTGGCGGTGGACAAGACTAACGACACGCAGTACTTAGAGAAGGAGGTGCAGAGGTACGCGATCTTCGTGAACAGTACAAAGAGCGTGCTCGAGTCCCTGGCACCGGCCGTACTGAGTCTCTTCCTGGGCTCGTGGTCCGACCGACACGGAAGGAAGCCGCTCATTGTGTGGCCTCTTTTTGGTAATTATTTTTTTTTAGATTTGCGGCTTATCTTTTAAATACTAAGTTTATTTATTATAAAAAAAGAACGCAATATTCCTAACCTAAAAGTACATGTTATTATCCGCAACATGCTTCGTCAGATTACAGAAATAAACACCTCGTAAAATATCTCATACGGCACTAGCATAAATCAAAAAGAACCGAGCGTGCTGTTCGAACGAATGGTACACACCTCCCGTCTCTGTTTTACTCTTCAAGCCTCGTTGGTTCCCACCNTATTTATTATAAAAAAAGAACGCAATATTCCTAACCTAAAAGTACATGTTATTATCCGCAACATGCTTCGTCAGATTACAGAAATAAACACCTCGTAAAATATCTCATACGGCACTAGCATAAATCAAAAAGAACCGAGCGTGCTGTTCGAACGAATGGTACACACCTCCCGTCTCTGTTTTACTCTTCAAGCCTCGTTGGTTCCCACCAATTACGTATTGTAAGCCCACGCGCAGAAAGAACCACCGTTCCACACTTATATAAATTCTCTTAAATAAAAACTCCTCATTAATATAAATTATTAATAATTTTGATTTGAGTCGCATGTGGGTCAAATCTATTTTTATAGCTTAGATCGGTGTATGAGCACAAGGCCCATCTGGGCTTAAATGGTTACTAGAACCGTAAATGTAAACCGTAAAACATCAACAACGCAAATGCCACCACACACCCTGGGACATGAGTTCTAAGTCTAAGTTTAATAGCACAACGGCTGCTCCAACCTTCATAAACACCTTCAGAGATAGGCAGGTGTTGGTAACTAGTGTGGAATAATTACAGTTCATGAGCTAATTGTGGAAGTCATGCGTGAACACGTGCTAGCTACGCTTTTCTATTAAACGAATGTCCGGCAGGATTTGAATACTGGCCCAGTCGTATCGCTTCGTACAAGTTACAGCACCTTGGTGACGTATGGCGCGGGGTATGTGATACCGTCTGGGCGGCTCGAAGTATTGAGTCGCCCGAGGGGTCGCGCGGCCGGTCGTGTCGCAGTCATTCCGTTGGGTAATATTGTTAAGATTGGTTAGTGAGATCAAAAATGCCACATACCGCCCACGACCCTACACCTGCAGTGACGAATCAATCAACCACTCAATCACTTTATAAAAAGGTCTACATTATGTTAAATTGGATCCTAAGAAAATAAAGTGCAAGCGTCAGAACCTGAATATTTTTTCAAAATTGCTGTAATGTTCCAGGGATCGCAACTACTTCAATGTTGGTACTGATATATAGTATGGTTGATGTGGGACCCTGGTGGTTCATTCTGACGTCCGTACCATACTCGCTGGCTGGCGGAGTGGCTACCCTGTCCACGGGGTCTTACTCCTACATGAGTGACGTCACGAGCACTGAGAAACGAACCGCAAGGTACACTTTTATTGATAGTTGTGGACTATACCCCACATATACACTTACACACAACTGATAGACATACGTCACACAATAACATTTGTTTCCGATACAAATGTCAGCCGCGTCGATGCGCATCATCCGCCTTCTGCCGCCCTTGTCGAGATATGGCCTAGAGCATGGCCACCATGGCAAGAGCAACTCGCTCACACAGTGAAGGTTTTCCCACCTTCACATGTGCGAGGCCACTTGCTCTGCGACGCAATAACGACAGTCACTTCTTTAGTGGTACACTCATCCAGTCTGTCACTTTGACCTCCGCCATTTTGACGGACGCGTCTATTCGTACCACTTCCGGGTCTGGTAGTATTTTGCGATGCCGGGCTGTCACTCTGTCAACGGCCGTGCCTGTGTCGGCACCGGGACATTCTAACAGCCAGCCCCTGTAGGTCAGCCGATCTTTCTGTCTTTGTTTTCAGCGGGCGAAGCCGCACGCCGAAAGGCGCCGCGAACGCCGCACCAATATTTGCGAGACTTCAAGACCCACATACCCCGCGCGCCTTCTAGGCGTGGAAGTCCTAACCTTAACCTAAACCTAAGCCCTTGAAACGAAAGAGATCGGACGATACCTCTGGGAATGTCGCCCAGAGGCTCCCTTGGTCGGCTATCCACGGATGCGCCCGGTAGGAGCTCAGCCTTTATCGTGGGCCATAACCAACAACTTTTTTTTTTTTTTCGGGCCGGTGGCCGTACCTCCTACGAGGTCCCCCCCCGCGCCTAGGGGGCGCGCGGGGTATGTGAGACTCAACGATCTGCAGGTGTAGAGAGTAGATCGCGGGCCCAAGAATTTTAGAGCCCACCCACTAAACGACTCCTCTGCACTCTTACACCCGACGTCCGATCTCCGTCCGGGGTCAGAACCCGATCAGAGTAGGGTGTTCCCGCGGTCAACACTACAGACACGTGGCGCCACCCCGAGGACGCCCGACCGACGGGTCGTCGAGGCGATGGTCGACGACCAACGACGTTGGTCTCCGCGGTACGGCGGCGCCACCACGCCGCCCAGGCGGTGCCGCTGGTGTTCCGGGATACCCCGCTGGGCCAGAACCAGCCTGCCGGGTCGGAACGCGATACACCGCCGACCGGGTTGCTCTTCAACAGTATGTTCGGCGACGACAGCGACGACGAAAATGCGGACCGCATCGCAGTCCGCAGCCGCCGACGCGCCGTCCCGTCCTCCNCCGCTGGTGTTCCGGGATACCCCGCTGGGCCAGAACCAGCCTGCCGGGTCGGAACGCGATACACCGCCGACCGGGTTGCTCTTCAACAGTATGTTCGGCGACGACAGCGACGACGAAAATGCGGACCGCATCGCAGTCCGCAGCCGCCGACGCGCCGTCCCGTCCTCCTGGTGCCAGCGCGCTAGAGTGACGGTAGCGTGCGGCGCAGCTTCAACCCCTTTAGGTCGCCCCGCGACCATCACCGGGAGGAGACTGCCTGCTCATAGGGGCCGGAGCTGGACAAACGCCCTCCTCCAACCCCCGGCTCGACGGCGGCGGCACGACGCCGAAAGGGGAGGAAGAGCTCTCATTCTCCCGTTCCGCCGCCTCCTTCTGTGGGATGATGGACTCGTAGAAGTCGAGCATCGCCTGCCAGGACTCGTCGGTGCCGAGCATCGTAGCCACGACGGTCGGAAGCGACAAGTCCGGTCCTATTTTTGCAACGAGGACGCGGCGCTGCTCCCCGAAAGCGGGGCAGTATGCGAGCGTGTGCTCCGCCGTGTCCTCGTTGCAGCCACTGCAGTGGTGGCACTTCGGCGTCGGCTCCCTCCGGGCGACGAGGTGCAGGTAGCGACCGAAACAGCCGTGTCCCGTGAGCACCTGTGTCGCTCGGAAGGTGAGACGTCCTCGGTCGCGATTCACCCAGACCGAGAGGACCGAGCGGATCGCCTCGACGGTTCGTCGCCCGTAGGTGGGGTCCACCAGGCGGCGAGACCACGCCTCGAGTACGGCACGCCGAGATTGAAGCTTCCGCGCTCGAACTTCCGCCGCGCCGGGACGCGGTTCCCCCCTGGAGCGGAGATCGCATCGCCACGCGTAATCCGCAGCGAGCGCTTCCGCTTCCAGGTCCCAGGGAGGTGTCCCGGTGCCATAACCAACACCTAGTCTATCTTCTAAACATAGGTACACTACACTATATACATACAGACGATTTAGATACTAAGCTGGATCAAATTTCAATTTTGTTTTATTTCATTCAACTACATACATGTCAAAATTTTTAATTTTGTAATTCATTATAATAAGATCTGCAGAATGAAACGCGCGTGTCGTCGCCGGGCCACCGGGGCCGCCTGCCACGCGACGGCAAGTGAACCACCACAAAGTAGAGTGGCCGTGCGTGAGCTACGACATGACACTGACACGGATACACTTTACGGATAACACTTTGACACTGACAAAGACAAACCCCTACTTGCCACCTTGCCATCAAAGATTATTATTGGAGCGTTTTGAAATTTTCGTAATATTTTAATTTTGGTGTAGAATGTTCACGGTGCAGCTCGCAGCGTCAGGCGGCGTGGTGGCGGGCTCGCTGCTCAGCGCGCCGGTGCTGCGCGCGGTGGGCGCCGTGTACCTGCTGCTGGCCGGGGCCTCCGTCGCGGCCTTTACTTATGCCTTCACGAATGTGTTCTTGAATGAATCGTTAACAGGAGTCGTTCAGGTTAGTATGGCAGCGAATGATTTTTTTTATTGCGTAGACGGTTGTACGAGTCGCGTGGAATCAAGTGGTTACCAGAGCCCAAATACATCACTACCTGAATGCCACCACCCATTTGAGACATGATGTCTATATTTCAATTGTGCAATGTACTAGACCAGGTGTCGGCAACGCATCGCCCGCGGGTGATTTTTAATGCACTCTCGCTGAACTAATGTAAAGCTGATAGCTTTACATTAGTTCATCTTTTTTATTACTTTAGCTTTACATTAGTTACTTTACATTAGTACATTAGTTCAGTTAGCTGATAGCCCGAGCGATTTACATACACTTGTCAAACGACGATATACAGCAAGTAGTCAATTGAGTTTAGGATTGTGCATAGATTAGCACTTTGCTAGCCTTGAGCGTATCTAATAACACGCACGTATTTTTTGTTAGTGTGTGATCGTATTTCGAATAGGCCACGCGTAGACCGGGCATTTAAAACTGCCAAGTGATCCGAAATAATTGTTTTCTTTCAATACCGAACAAAGCTTAATGACTCACATCTATATATTAATACGTGAAGCAAAAACTTTGTATCCCTTTTTACGAAAATTGCGCGGACGGAGGAGTATGAAATTTCCCACACTTATAGAGAATATAGAGAAGAAGTGCACAAAGCTAATATCTTTTTTAAATAAAGCATAAAAGATACATTAAATCAATAAAGAAAACATCACACACACTACATACCATGTATTTGACGCACACACGCATACTATTTATTGTCAAACTTTTGTTCTTGACATCTGTTGTCAAATTGAGAATAGATTAAATATTGTTTGTCTTTGTTAATATTTTTATAGTGTAGTCTTGGCGAAATTTGTGATAATAGAAGTGTAAAATACAATCATAATAGTGTACAAACTTACAATTCCAATTAATTATAGTCGAATTTCGACTACTGCGGGACCTCTAGTTTAGATAATTGTTTAAGGACCGGGTACTCTAAATATATCCCCAATTATGAGAAATTATCTGAAAATATGGACACCCAAGTTTCACACTGAATTATAATACCTATGTATCATTATGTATGACACCAACAAAATAAAGTTATAAAAAATCCGTTTTTTTAATGCCTATTGATACTGGTGGTAGGGCCTCTTGGGAGTCCGCACGGGTAGGTACCACAACCCCGCCTATTTCCGCCGTGAAGCAGTAATGCATTTCGGTTCGAAGGGTGGGGTAGCCGTTGTAACTATACTGAGACCTTAGAACTTATATCTCGAGGTGGGTGGCGCATTTACGTTGTAGATGTCTATGGGCTCCAGTAACCACTTAACACCAGGTGGGCTGTGAGCTCGTCCATCCACCTAAGCAATAAAAAAAAATATGTAAAATATGCACCCTCTGTGATTTTCAAATTTAGTACTGCGCCCTTAAGGACAAATAGGTTGCCGACCCCTGTATTAGACTGTCCCATTGGTTTGTAACCAGAACACATTACTGCTTCATGACAAAAATGGACAGGGTGGTGGCGCCTGCTCATGTGGGCTCACAAGACCCCGTACCACCAGTAATTCCACGATGTGATTCCTCGTCGTCATCGTGGGATTTGAACACCGGCATAGCCGTATCACTCACCACGAGCATTCTGCAGATCGATTCCGGGCTCCTTAACTGTTACCACAACAGTAATACGGTGTAAAATATTAAAGTAGATACTGTACAACATTTCCAGGGCAGCATGACCTCGATAATGGACCTGCAGCTGGTGACAGACATGAGCAGGGAGTGCTTCAGACGCCGCCCGAACAACGGCAGGGCTCAGGTGCTCGTCGTCGCAGCCGCCTCGAGCCTCTCCGCCTTCGTTACGTTTGGGATCATGAATTTGGAATACTTGTATACCAGAGAGAAACTGCACTGGACCCTCAGCGAGTTTACCGTGTACTCGGCTGTAAACACTCTGTTGAGTTTCTTTGGAGGGCTCATAGGAATGTCGGTACTTCAGGGACTGTTCAAGATCAGCGACTTGCCGCTGGCAGCTGTTGCATTCGTCTCTGCTGCAGCGGAATATGTTGCGAAAACTTTAGCAGTTGATTCATGGCATATGTATTTGGGTATGTAGAATATATTCCGTTCATGAAATGAGTAAATTTCCGTAAAGTAAAGGTCTCAAGTTCCGCGCTATAAATACAAGCTCTCAGCGGCTCTTTGGTTTAAAGCGACTTCGTCAGATGCACACAGAGCGCAAAACTCGGCGCATAGAGCGTTCGGAATGTTGTATTGTAACGTTAGGTCCGTACGATACCTAAAATGTATTTATTCAAAAGAACTTTATTTGTCTAGGTGCTAGTTTAGCCATTTTCAAAGGTTTGTCAGCGTCGTTGCTCCGATCTTTCGTGAGTAAGGTCCTCCCTGCCGATGTGGTGACAAAGTTCCTTGCGTTGATGTCCGCCGTGGAGAGCCTGTGCCCGCTGCTGGCGCCCCTGGTCTACAGCACCCTGTACGGAGCCACCGTGTCCACCGCGCCAGCCTCCGTCTACGTGCTCAGCACGGGAATTATTGTTTTTTGCATTGTATTAATAGGGTATGTTTTTTTGAATTGCTCTATATCATTATTAATTATTGATATTACAATTATTGGCTTTGTGACATGACTAAACGCAAACGAGCGAGGTACCAAAAGTGTGGTGAGCGGTAGCCAGAGGCTGAACTGTGCCCAGAAGAGCCCAACTGCCCGGGTGCCAAGCTGTCCAGGAGATTGTATCGACATCAGCGGGCTTAACTAAAGTTATGTTCTTTAATAGATATTATAAGAAAACAATTACATAATATCTACATAATAAATGTAGTAAAATATAGAAAGTTTCTTTGTTTATATTTTGCCATTATTCAAAATCATTGTTCATATTTTATTTCAGAGTAGTTTTGTATTTCCGAAGACATGCTACGACACCTTATGAAGTACTACAACCAGAGCCCTTCTGACCCTGTCGGTCGGACGTCGCACCATTGTAACAGCCCTATTCATTATAATACATATTATGTATATTACTATCCGCTCGATAAGTAGATCTGTAAGATCCGTTTGATTATTACTTTCGCATTGTTGAACTTTAATTAAATTCATACAAAAAAGGCAACTTTAATTCACTGGGGAGTTTCTTTCTACGGAGCACGTAGAGGTCACAGTCTGAAGTATGCTTTGCTCAAGGGTACTTTTTTGTATTGCTCAGATGGATGGACGATCTCACGGCCCATCTGCTGTTAATTGGTTACCGGAGCCCATAGTCATTTTCAACGTAAATGCCGCCACCCAGTTCGAGACATAAGTTCTAAGGTCTCTGTTTTACAGTACCTAGTCAGGTCATAAATTCTGTCACATGTTTAATGTAAAATAATTGAAACAAGTTTATTCATTATGTAATGTATGTGCTGTTTAATCACGATAACGCACCCGCGCACAGATCGGCAGTTGCGATGGCTGCCATTCAGCAAGCTGGCTTCGCATTGATTGAGCAACCCCTTGTATTCACCAGATCTGACGCCTAGCGAATTTTATCTGTTCCCCAAATTGAAAGATTATTTAAGGGGAGACAGGTAGGAAGACGATAACGAGGTATAACGGATGCCGTGGAGAGCTTTTGCAGGACCAAGACAAAACTTTTTTTTTTAAAGGGATCGAAACCTTGGAAAAGCGCTGGACTCGCTGTGTAGAGAGGAGACTCGGAGACTATGTAGAAAAATAAATTATTAAGTTATCAATAGTCATTATATTCTATCTCATTCTCACAAAATTTGGATCCCCCCCTAGTAGAGTCTTGTTACGTTCGATCAGTAGTACTATTATTGATCGAAGCTTGTTACACTCTTCTGGAATCAACCTATTTTTACGAACACGACTTTAGTCATGAAAGTATTAGGATTGTTTTATTTAAATTATTGTACTATATCTATACCTAGTCAGGTCATAAATTCTGTCACATGTTTAATGTAAAATAATTGAAACAAGTTTATTCATTATGTAACCATTCATATACCAAAATGAACTTAACAAAACATAGATTCTTATGACACTAAAGTTTATTCAAAATGACCTCCGTGATTTTGAATACAGGCCTTCAATCTGCGCGGCCAGTCGTCTATCGCAGCACGAACGAGGTCCATGTCAATATCGGCGGCTGCCTTAATCAAGGATGTCTTGAGTGACTCCAAATTGGGATGAGGCTTTGAGCACGCCTTTTCCTCCAAGTGTTGCCATATCTTGTAATCTAACGGATTCAAATCTGGACTGGAGGAGGGCCAGTCTTCGTGCCGGATGAAGTCGATTTCACGCGCCGCCAGCCAGTCTTGTGTGCTCTTCGCTCTATGAGCTGGCGCCGAATCTTGTTGGAATACCCAGTGCCTGTTATTGAACATGGTATGAGAAACAGGTTCCACAAGGTTCGTCAGGACTGTATTTTGATACACAACTGCATTCGTTTTTACACCTTTCTCACTAAAATGTACCTCTGTTAAGCCCCAATAAGAAACTCCCAACCATACCATGAGCGAGGATGTAAAATGACCTCGTTGGACACGCGGAATACGGTTGCTCGCTTCTTCACTACTGTGTGCGTACACCTTATCATTTTGTTTGTTGTAGCTCTCTTCTACGGTAAAAATTTTTTCATCCGAAAAAAGAATTTCCCGATATTTTTTTCTCGCGTACCGCTTCAACAAAGCGCGGCATCTCTTCAGTCTCAGGTCCATTAGACGAGCATTGAAACGATGTCCTGTTTTTCTTCGATATGCCCGAAGTCCTAAGTCTTCATTTAACACCCTTTTCACCATGGTTCTGCTTAACCCCATCTGAAGGGCCAACAGTTTCTGCTTACGTTTGGGATTTCTTTGAATTCGTGCTTTCACAGCTTTTATCACTGCTGGAGTCCTAACAGACCGAGGGCGATCACTTCTTGACCTGTCATCTACACTAGAGTCTTCATTGTATCGTTTGATAGTACGATAAACGAATCTTTTGGTTATATTCAAATTTTTCAGTATGTTAAAAATTTGGATTGGCGCGTAGCCGCAACGATGCAACGCAATAACTGCAACACGGTCTTCTTTAATCGTCCACTCCATATTTAAAAATGAGTAAAATTCTAAAAGTATACATTTTTATTTTCATGAACAATTCGAAATTCGAATTCAATAAACTTTTTTGTGGCCAGCATTCTAAAAGAAAAGTTTTTACTGTGTGACAATACTTATGACCTGACTAGTTATAACAGCTGTCCCACCCTTCAAACTGAAACGCTTTACTGCTTCATGGCAGAAAAAGGAAGGGTGTTGGTACCTACCTGTGCGGACTCACAAGAAGTCTTACCACCAGTAATGATGCAAGTTATAGTTTATGTGGGTTTGATTTTTATTACACGATATTATTCCTCTACCGTAGAAGTCAATCGTAAACATTTGTTAAGTACGTATTTCATTAGAAAAATGAGTATCTGTTTGTGGGATACGAGTGCACGTTTTATCATTTAGGCCACAATGAAAAGAGTACATTGAAATATAGCAAATATAGCACCAACTGCGGTTATAGGGTTACAGCTGTTACAAGGATTGTTCGAATCCCCTGTGAAGCGCGTCGACTGCACGCTTCAAATACGCCGTGTGATATGGATCTAATAGCGTTCTTATCTCTTAGATGTCATATTGCTGAAAATAGTAAATTAAATATCCCGCCAGCTGTGTCCCACTCTATACTCATTTCCCATCGAGCATCGTTCAGTCGGAAATATTCGAGGCCGCGGCCGTGGCTCCCAGCGCGCCGCGTCCACACGCTCCTGGTAGAATACGACGGTGGCGTGCTGAGGTGAAACAATCTTACATGACAATGCTCAGTGTGACTGTTAATCGAAAGAGACAACTATCTCATCATTCGTAACTTTACTTCCTAGTTACTGTCTTCAGTGATGATGGCATTGCGACTCAGTTCAGGGCAGCGATCATGTAGTCCGGCTTAAAGAATAGACAGAACAGAGTCATCACCTCCCCCACTTCCCCCTCCGTATTAGCTGATAACCCAGCGGGCTATTTATTCCAGCTACGCCCGGACGGGCATACCTTAGGTGTATCGGCGGGCTGCCGTCCGTGGGCTCCCGTAAAAAAACAACATGCATGTTGGCTCATGGACCTGTGGGTAGTAAATAAAATCAACAAAAAGAAGTCAATACTCAAATTGTAATATCATAATGCAGTAGCAGACAGTGAGTCCGATGAAGTCCACGTAGAGGCCGAGGTCGACGGTGAACTCCGGCCAGATGGTGACCGTCGGTGGAGCGACGGTAATGTACTCGACCACGTCGTACACAGACCGACGGAGCTTCGAGTCTGAAATGATACAAACTAAGTATATGCGTGGATTGCGTGGGTAGTGGCTTGGCGGTGTCCCTGGCATTGCTAACATCCATGACCGACAGTGGCTACTTACCATCAGGTGAGCCGTAAGCTCGACTGTCTACAAGGGCAATTTTTTAAATCAATAATATATATTATTATTAGAATCGTAATTAGAAGCTGTTATCGGTATATTTGAGGAGTTGATCCGCCAAGATCATTATAATCTGATCTTTTTCATTGTTCGCCATCTCGAGTAGAGCCGGGGCAACAATGACTGCGGCCACCTCGAATGAAGTCATCATCATGTAAGTCAGTCTAGAGTTGTCTATTGTCTGCAATTAAATTAAACCTTCAACAGTGCAGTAACCGGATTCCGGAGGGACCAATTGTCATTTTAATTGTTTTAATTATTCAACCCGGATTTATTGTCTTATCTGCTGCGTGTACAATAAGGATGGTTCAGTTTACTCCTGCCTGGCGACCGTCTCTCACAGTCGGTAGTAATGTCTGTTACATTACATTCAGTCTACGGTTCATTGTTAAGTTTAGTTGCGTAGTTTGCCTGATGAACTGTTGATGTTTTAGTTGTAACTAGTCTGGCCATAAATACTGTTACATCAAAACTTTTTTTTTTCAACTTTTTAATTATTTTGAATTTGGAACACGTAGGTATATTATTTTAAAAACTTCTTTCAATTTTGCACCATTTCACATATTTTTTCGTGTTCATTATCATATTACAATATGGCATGGGGTGTTAAAGAAAATGGGATTTCAGTGATCGCCTTGCACAAAGTAGGTATGGAGCCGTCGGTCATATTCCAGACACTTCAAAAGCTTGGTATCAGCCGTATGCTCGTATATCGTACTATCAACAGATACAGTAACACTTCGTCTGTCGAAGATCAGAAAAGATTGGGGCGGCCGCGTGCTGTTAGACCTACAAAGACTGTTAATGCTGTTCAAGCCAGAATTCGTCGAAAACCCATTAGATAAAGTGTACGCTCACAGTTCTAAAGAAGCTGCTCAAGTGGTCGGAAAGGTACAACGTGGTCATCATCCTGCGTTAGTAATGGTTTGGTGGGGCGTGTCAAAGAGTCACAACTACATTTTTTAGAAAAAAGTTTTTTTTTTATTGCTTCGATGGGTGGACGAGTTCACAGCCCACCTGGTGTTAAGTGGTTACTGGAGCCCATAGACATTCACAAAATAAATGCGCCACCCATCAAAAAAAGTGTGAATACTTCAGTCAAATTGTATCAAGATACAGTCTTGGATCATGTTGTGAAACCTCTCAGCAATACACTTTTTAAAAATATACCGTGGACTTTCCAGCAGGACTCTGCACCTGGTCACACGGCATCAACTACCCAAGCCTGGCTTGAAACCAACGTTCCGTACTTTATAAGAGCTGAAGACTGGCCTCCATCTAGCCCAGACCTCAACCCTCTAGCCATTAAATTATGGTCAGTTTCAGAGGACATGGCCTGCTCTAAGCGACACGGCGACATTGAGTCTCTCAAGGAGCAGGCAGAGGCAAAATTTCCCTTGGAAACAGTGCGTAAATCCATAGATTCGTGGCCAAACATATTAAAGGCGTGTATAAAAGCCAAAGGTGGCCATTTCGAATAGATTTTTCTTTTTTTTTGGTGAGGTTTTAATAGATGTGTGGGTGTAAAATTTTATAATATTACAATACTTCATTAAAAAAAATGCATTTTCATTTGTAACAGAACTTATGGCTGGACTACGTATATATAGTGCGGGTGATAGACAAACAGGACAAACAGGTTAGAA